TTGCACAATACTGCTAATATCTAAATGGAGGATGTACATGTACATTATGTGAATGTAATACAATGTGTGGGTTATTATTATTTTTACTTGTGATATTAGCATTCCATAGAAAGTAAATAAAGCATCAATGATGAACAAACCAAATGTAATAATAAATGTTAACCAAATGTCCATTTCTTAATTACATTTTCTGATGCATATTGATGTACTTATGCTATGTAAAAAGTTTGAGCTGAAATTTTTGAGTTATGACCATTTTTTTAAATAAGCCAAATTCTCAAATACTCTGTTTAATACTGAATGTTTACCAAATCAACACCATGCATTAGTGCAAAGGGCCAGGATATTGATTCACATAATTTTAATTTGAGTTAAAAGTATAAAATATGTTATTATATATTTTTATAAAATTGTTAAAAATTAATTTCTTCATAAGTCACGTGTTGTTGCTGTACAGTTGTTGTTCCTCTCACCTCACCATAAGCTGGATTAACATTAATATTTAATTTATTGAATTTATTAATATCTTCATACGCTGCATTAGGTACTGTAGCTATGTGTTGAGATGAGGTAGCCCCTGTAATAATGAATAATAATTAATAAGTATCACCATTATCTTACTATTCCTGTTCCTTTTATACACAGCATACACCAACACAGTGACAGACACTGCTATTATTATTATTATTATTATAACAATAGTCAGTGATATTACTACTGGTATAATGATGACTATATAAATATAAATAATAATAACAATGATATTGTGTATTATACAACTTACCAGTACTAGATGAAGTTATACCTGGTGTGCTAGTAAGTGATGGAGTATTAGTAGGAGATGGTGTATTACTGATAGGTAGAGTAGTAGTGTCTGTATAATAATGTGATGAATAATACATGTACATTAACATTATACTGAATACTAGTAATATACTGAATACTTACCAAATGCTAGTATAAATGGTTCATTACTACCAGCCTCATTACTAAATACAATACTGATATTACACTGTTGGTTTAGTGGTACTGGTACTGATCCTGTTATATTCATTGGTAGTCTAGCATATTGAACTAGTGTAGTATTATAATATACAACACCAGTTCCAGTACACTGTATAGTAACTGTAGCATTTTCAGGAGCTTCACCAGTACATGCCAACGTAACCTGTTATCAAAACAATAAACATAGAAGTAATAATAACATGACATTACTGGAATGATGAAGGAAGCAGTAGCACTAGTCTCATTAAATGTTATTATATTTGAAGCAGCTTCTATAACTGATCTTGGTACTAAATAAACATAAAATCATTTATTCAGTAATTATTGTTTATTGTACCTCTTTGATATGAGAATGTATCATTATTAGATATTCCTTCTCCTAATTCATTAACTCCAGTTATAACATATGTATAACGATGAATAAATAAATCATTATCCACAAACTGATAACTGGTACCATCTACTGATACAGTAGTCACTAGACTACCAGTAATAGCATCATATATTCTTAGTATGTAATACAGTATAGATACTCTATCATCAACTGTAGGAGCAGTCCATGTTATATCAATAGTAGAACAGTTGTCAATTGAAGAGTCGATGTCAGTAACTGGACCAATGATACCTAACAATAAGAGAAGTAATGAATGCATCTAGTGTTTCTTACCAAATCCAAAAGAAGGTATAGGTAGATATTCTCCTCCATTATTACTCAGTGATACATTAACAATAAATGTATTTAAATTATTAGGTACAGTTATTACTCCAGTAATCATCAGTTGATCATTAACTTGTGTTAGTATACTGGTATTGTTTATTACTGCGTTATCGGTATTCAGTATACTAACTGTTATACTATTAGGATACTCTCCTTTACATAGTGTACTGACCTATGTTTGAATGAGTGTGTGTAGTAATAACTCAAACTAATGCTATGTCAACAATAATCATTTGCTATGCATGCATTTCCTGTTAGTTTACAATTGAGCTTATAGTGAATATACTTACATTAATACTGATATTCAATGATATTAGTTGTCCATCAATTACTGGTACAACTGATACAGGAGGAGTAATGAGAGGAACTGAAAGATACACTGGGAACATATACATGAAGCCATAGTAGGACTAACCTCTTTCATAATAAAAACTGATATCATTAGATGAACCTATTCCAACATCATTAATAGGAGAAACTGATACATTATTTAATATACAAGGATCAGGATTAGTAGCTGATAATATAATACTCTTGTTAGTAGTAGTAATGTTCACTAATCCATTGACTATATAGTATCCAGTGATAGGTACATTATCCAGTGTATAAGGAGCTGTCCATGTTAATAATACACTGGATCCATTAATAAAGGTATAATCCAGATCACCAACACTATCCAATAGACCTGAGAAAGATAATTAGAAGTTTCAGTCACATACAAAAACTAACCTTGTATTGTTAAGAAGACTACATCACTAGTAACTGATGTTGATGGTAAAGTAGCAGCTATACAAGTAATGTTAGTATTGTTATTAATATCATATGCTGTAGCAGTTAAAACTGCTCTTATTACTCCACCACCTATTCCAGTAAAATCTTCATCAAATCCTCTGGCACTTATTTCATCTCTGTTAGCTGGTACACTGCCAACAAGAAAGAGCAAAATATCACCAGTGCCTTCACAAATGAAATCAACAGTTGAATTTAGTGTTACATTGATAGACACTGGCTGAACAGTTATTTCTGTAAGGAATAAGAAGTGGATTTTTAAATTACTTCTTACCTGCACTATAAATAAACTGGATTATTTGCAAGAAGAATATCTGAAGCAGCATATTTCTGTCTGCATACTGGGCGTGCCCAAACTAGCCATTAATGTATTTTTTTAATTTTTTAATGTAATTTACATAATTATTTTTACAGATTTATAATTATGTAAAATTTTAAAAAATTAAATTAAATTCTTTTAAAATTAAAATT